AACCATTTTCAGCTTCAGCTCTAGTGTCAGCATTCTTGGGCTCCATCTTGCAGACATCTTGCACATCCCTAAGAACTCAGTTAAAACAGTATGGACCGAACCATAGCTAACGCCTATGGGCTTACCTATCTGCTGGACAGTGAGATGTCTGTCATCCAAAACCATACGGTAAACTTATTCATCAGTTGAGGTTTATGGACGACCTGACCGAGGGTCATCTTCTGTGCTGTTCCTGCCCCACTTGAATTCCTCAGCCCGCTTCTTCACAGTTGCATATGAACGGGAGGTGCAAGGAGCAAGTGTCTGTACCATTTCCTCATGGATTTCCTTCGATGTCATATCTTTTCTTTTCCAGTTGGTTTATGACTGCTCAGGCCTCTGTTTTGTCCATTTTTAGTTTTTTTTAATAATTTGCTTTCATCCCAAGCAAGGCAAAAAAATCCAAGAAGACGTAATTGTTTATGGAGTGTTAGAGAATATGCGAAAAAAAAAAAAGAGAGAGAACAATACAACAGATGCTGCCTGCTTGAACTTCTTCAGGGTGTAGAACCAGTGTTTCTATTGTTCACTTTGAATCTTTGATCCAGGTTCAAAGTGATGAACCCAGGTTTCAACTTGAGTTACTAATCTGCAAATTCTTAGAGTCAACCTGAAAACGAATCAGAAATGATCTGGAAATGTCAATCCTTTTCAACTACAGCTCTGGTGTCAGCGTTCTTGGGCTCCATCTTACAGACATCTTACTCATCCCCAAGATCTCAAATTAAACAGTATTGGCCGAACTATAACTAATGCTTATGGACTTAGCTATCTGCTGGACGGTAAGACGTCTATTATCCAAATTCATGCGGTGAATGGCATCAACTTGTTTATCAATGGTTGGGGTTTTCAACGAAGTTCATCTTCCGTCCTGTTCCTGTCCTGGTTCAATTCTGCAGCCCACTTCTTCAGAGTTGCATAGGAAGGGGAGTCATCAGCAAGTGTCAGTGTCACGACCTCATGGATTCCCTTAGGCGTCATACCTTTCTTTATGACTTCTTGGGCCTCAGCTTTGTCCATTTTTCGATTTGTTGCACACCTCTCACTTTTGTACCGGCTTCACCTGCACAGAAATTAAGTCAAGTATTTGAATTAGTATTTCTAGTTTTATAAGAAGTGACATTTTTTTGCCGCAAACAAAATATTCAACTATGGCGTGGGGCTTAGAACTTTTTGAACGATGCCGTCAAACAAAACCAACCAACAAACAAACAGGAATCTCCCACAGGTCTGTAAATTATCATGAATTCTTGCGATAATTATTTCAAAGGTCCCCCGTTGCCTTCTCCCCTACTTAGATTTGAGAGTTTTCCTTCTTTTATGTTGGTTTCTACATAACGCCCCAATATCGTCTGCTATTTGGCAGCTCATTGGAGAAAAGATGTGATTCAAATCTGTCGATATAACCGCGTAAATTATAAAGAATATTTGCCACAAAGACTAAAATGAAGAAGGTTGGTCATCACTTGTCCTATCTTAACCTAGATAGTCTCACTGATTGACCCATCTGTACAAGAAATTATCCATTCGCGATAAGATTACATTTACTACGATTGGACAGTCACCAAAATACCTCATTTGCTGAATGAAATTCTTAACTTTAACAGTAAAGCCACTAAGACACAAGGGGTTACTGGGTTTCGTTTCGTTTGCTTTGTTTTACAGTATATCAAAATCAACGGGTTATTTAATGCCGACACAATTTTTAAGATAGGCTTCTAAGAATAAAATACGTGTTCTTTTGTTTGGTTTATTTTGTTTTACGGCATAACAACCTCAATGGGTTATTTAATGCCGACAAGATTTTTACGATAGGTTTGTATGAATAGAATATGTATTCTTTTGTTTGGTTTGCTTTCTTTTATGGTAAATCAACCTCAATTGGTTATTTAATGTCGACAAGATTTTTAAGATAGGTTCGTATGTATAGAATATGTGTTCTTCTAAGAAATCTGTTTGTAGGAAATCAGGTTTCATTGATGCATTATTGTAAAAAAAAAAAGTGGTTTTGTCGAAAGTCAAATCTATTTTCTGTGAACGAGGACCCCCAGCAGAATTACTGACAGAAAATTACACTGCATTTAGGAATAAATCATTCAAGATTTTTCTGGAGAAATGGGGCGTTCAAATACACTTCTGATGTGCTTACATACCGTCAGGCAACCGTATCGTTGAGTGATGCCACAAAAGCGTCAAACGAATAGCAGTCAAGGAATGATGTTCCAAAATGGAGCCAGTGTAATGTCACAATGAGGCTCTAAAGGTTTGGTTTGGTTTGTTTTGTTTTACGGCATATCAACACTTCAATGGGTTATTTAATGCCGACAAGGTTTTTTTGCTGGTAATATTTTTTTAAAAGATGTATTACTGGATATAATGTATTGCTGGTAATAATTTTTTCTATCAAAATTCATTGCTGGTAATAATTTCTCCCAAAAATTTATTGCTGGTATTAAAACCTATACACTTTCATAGTCCTTTGACCCCAATTTTGAGTTTAACTATTTGCTCATAGCTGGGACCCTACAGATGCTACCACCCTGGGTCAGAGTGGACCTGAGAACACCAGCAATTAAGAGGTGGTTCCATGCTCCTCAAAATCTCCTGATCAGAGGCCTTGCTGCTGGGCGTACTTTATCGTCTTACCCAGGACAGGGGGGAGGAGTTTACTAGGCGTGGAAGAATTAGAAAACAAAAAGAAAACATTTCTAAGGCGTGAGAACAATAGAAGAGTAATCAGAAAGGCAGTAGATAACGATTGATACTGAATTAAAATTTTTGAAGATTAAAACTGACTGGAAAGCATAGAGCCGGAAAAGAGTTACACAAGCAAGAAGTGCGACAAGAGAAATTGTTAGCAGAGAAATTACGGCTATATCTATCCAATTTAACTGCGAACTGATATAACGAACAATTACTATGAAAATATTTATAGTAAATGTACAAAAAGTTACATTACTGTAGTCGGAAAGAGAAAGCGAAAATTCATATGTATAATTTCTTTTTTTTTTTGGTAATGGGGATATGAGGATGTATGTTAGTTCCAATCAGTGTTGGAATGTTCACTAAAATATCCCTCCCTAAATTTATAGATAAATCTCCCAGATGCATGCTGGGATTTCTTCTTAACCAATAAAATAGACCACTTCTTGGTCTCATCCGCCATATTGTTTTTTCTTGTCTTGAAATCAGAATGCTATAATTACTTGACTGTATTCCTTTTGTATGTTAATAGAATTCTTACTTTATGAACTTTTTGTCTTATTCCTGTTTCTTTGCCTAGTTTGGGTTTGCATATATATTATTTGCTTAGTATTTGACCTGTGCTTTTTCTTCTTTTTCATATTGTTTATTAAGAACTTTGTCAATTCTGTTGTGAATTTTGCCAATTACTCCACAATCACCAAAAAATTCTTACAATGTAAAAATATTTTCTGCCATTAAATAACTTGCAAAAGGTTGCTAAAGCATAAAAAAACAAATCAATCAAGCAATCTTACTTGACAATAAAACTATATTTCCAAGGTCTATTGTATTTTTCATTAAATATAAATAAACTTGTATTTTTTTCTGACACATGATCAATAGTCAACTTTTCTCTGTCTCTTATTATACACGTTATTTCTTTTCTACTTAACATATGCAAATAGGTAGAATCCTATTTACCAATCCACTACACCTCCCTGAACCAAAGAGGTTTAATGATTTTGGTTGTTCTTGAACTTCTTCTACAACCTCTTTCCTCCTCTCTCCCTTTGAGGTTTATGTGCTGAATAAAACATTAATCAGTTAAGTGAAAAAATTAATTTTTATTAATAATATATATATAAAAGTGTGTGTGTGTGTGTGTTGGTTTCAGTCTCCATGGAATGATAGCTAAAAATTCCTCCTACCCAAATTTATAGATAACTCTCCCAGATGCATGCTGGGATTTCTTCTTAACCAATAAAATATACGTGTCAGTCTCATCCGCCATATTAATTGTTTTTTCTTGTCTTGAAATCAGAATGCTATAATTACCTGACTGTATTCCTTTTGTATGTTAATACAATTCTTACTTTGTGAACTTTTTGCCTTATTCCTGTTTCTTTGCCTAGTTTTGACTTGCATATGTATTATGTATTTAGTATTTGCCCTGTGCTTTTTCTTCTTTTTCATATTGTTTATTGAAAATTATTTGTGAATTACACTCAACCAGTGTTATTTTAATTTTTTTTTTTTTTTTTTTTTCGTAATTTAGACGACAATTCATCCATCACACTCTGTATATTATTTGTTATTTTGTCCTGTTCTTTTTCTTTCTTTTGTTATTGTTTAGTGGAACATTTGTCAATTCCGTTTGTTAGGCATTTTTCCCAATTACACTTAACCATGGCCAGAATATTCTGCCGATTCATTCCTTTCCCAAGGGCATTAGTGCGAGTCTAGGCGAAAGAAAACTAGAACTTCTGAAACTATCCTAAAAATTCGGAGGTACCATCAGGCTATCTTGCCCCAGACACAAACCTATTGTTGTTACGGCTGTAGTACATGCGGTGTCCATATGATTCTAATGAGCTGAGGAAACTGTGATCTTGCTCAAATATGCATCAGATAGCATCAACTGCTCTCACATTTTATGAGTAAACTTAATTAAAAGTTATTAATTAAATTTAAATTCAGATTAGTAAATTTGTTGCGAATCTCCGAACGATCCGATGGAAGAAATGATTTGGGGAATTGGATAAAGAAGAGAAAGTCTAATTGGAGACTTTCGATTAGAATTCTGCTTTCTATGGCGCTGGGTGGAATCGGAAGACAGACTCGGCAAATTGAATTCTGATTGGCTATAAAAGCAATCATGGCCGTGATGTTTTGGGAAAGAAACAAATTTCTTTTCTTGGAGTTATCTCTTGTTTTGATCTCTAAGAGTGAGATGAAAGCGTTTTACGTGCAAGGAGAAAAATGATTTATTTGCTATGATGCATGCATCTATCTATCTATCTATCTATCTATCTATCTATCTATCTATCTATCTATCTATCTATCTATCTCAGTGTGTTCATCTATCTATCTATCAATCTATCTATCTATCTCAGTCTGTTCCTTATCTATCTATCTATCTATCTATCTATCTATCTATCTATCTCAGTCTGTTCCTTATCTATCTATCTATCTATCTATCTATCTCAGTCTGTTTCTTATCTATCTATCTATCTATCTATCTATCTATCTATCTCAGTTTGTTCCTTATCTATCTATCTATCTATCTGTCTGTTATGTCTCCATTCCATGAAGATAACACAATCATGAAACATTATGACGGTTGGTGTCGACGTATTCTTACTGAATTCTGTAGTAAGGATATAAGGCTCGCTCTGGGCTGGCGGTATTTATCAACCTTCCCACAAAACAGGATACGGCACAAGGCTGATTTTTATGTGGGCAAATCCGAGCCCGTAGGCTCGGGCAAAAATTCCCCGTAGGCCCCGCATACATGGGGTTGGGTTTGTCTACCCCCCCCCCTCCAGAGGCATAGCCTCGTCAGGGTTCCTCTTTGCCCGAAGACAGAGAGTTCGACAGAGATCTAAAAGCTCTGCGAGCGACTACCCCTCGCTGCCGGATAGAATATTTAGCCACCTCCTCACGAGGGTTTCATGTGGCACAAGGCCGGTTTAACGTGGTTTCTCCGAGCCCGTAGGCTCGGCCAAAAATATTCCCTTTCGAACCCGTATAAACGGGTTTAGGTTCAGTTAACTTCCCCGAACGATGCACTGCCCTTCGGCGGAGCCACGTCCGGGTTCCTGTCTGCCCGAAAACAGAGTGTTCGACAGAGATCTAAGAGCTCTGCGAGCAACTAGCTCTCGCTGCTGGCTAGTATATTTAGCTTCCCCACCACGAGGGTTGCATGTGACACAAAGCCGGTTTAACGTGTTTTCTCCGAGTCCGTAGGCTCGGCCAAAAATATTCCGTTTCGAACCCGTATAAACGGGTTCAGGGGAAGTCTACCTCCTCGAACGGCGGAGCCTCGTCCGGGTTCCTCTCTGCCCGAAGACAGAGTTCGACATCTAAGAGCTCTGCGAGCGACTAGCTCTCGCTGCCGACTAGCTCTGTTGACGAATCGCGTCGTCCGGATATAGGCTATTTGGACGAGTCCAAGGTATATTCTGGAGAGGTGTGTTCACTTCCCTTTTTAGCTATACATTTTCTTTAGTCGATACTTTTTCCGACATGTTCACTTCGAATGTTTCAGTTGGATTACGTTTTTGCTTACCCTGGCATTGTATTGTAATATTAATTTTTAGGAACAGGTACCTCAAAGGAATCGTAAAGTATGTCCATCTGTGAATTAAATTGTACTGATTGCTTATTCTGTGCATATCTAGACCATAATTGATTTATATGTCTTCTGTGTTGAAATACTCCACCTTTGACAATGTACATCATACTACCAAGGCGTTGAATAATTTCTTCTTCCTGTCAATTTTCATTTCCGGCCTGAAAGCATTTAAAAAAAGACTTTATCGCCGATCTAAAAAGATCTGGTACTTTCTAAGTGTCGTAGTTTCTTTTTATTCCCTGGTATTAATTTGTCGAAAATTACTCTAACGTGCCTATCAAACATGAGCTCTACTGGTGATATATTTGCGTTGACGTTTGCATTTAATCTCATTCGATACACGCTCAAAAATTCTTGTTTGCCGTTTCTTCAGCTTCTAAGCTTTTCAGTCAGTCAGTTATGTGCCATGCGGAATACACGCTTAGGCGATCATGCATTTTTCAGTACATGACTGACGAGGCAGATTTTTTCTCGCAGTAGGTTGCCACTTCTTTCTGCGGTAGATGGCAACTGGGCTACCAGTTGCCATCCAAGGCTATAGAACCCGGTCTCTCCTGCTATTTACCCATAGCTGGAGGGAGAAGAAGAGGATTCATACCTTTCCCAAGGGTATTAGCACGTAAGTGAATGTAATAGATTTAACTGGAATTCGAACTCGGCTCTACGATTTCTCAATCCGAGCCACTATCCATTAATCCTTTTACCCGCAGTAGGTTGCCATTTCTGTCTGCGGTAGACCAGTTGCCATCCAAGGCTATATAACCCGGCCTGTCCTGCTATTTATCCATAGCTGGGAGCGGGGAAAGAATAGGATTCATACCTTTCCCAAGGGTATTAGCACGTAAGTGAATGTAATAGATTCGACTAGCTTTTCTTAATACCCTGTCAACAAATCGTTCAGTTTGACCATTCGACCTCGGGTGATAATATTCACAAATAGAAAACGCTTTATTTTTGTTAGCTGGTTAAATTTTGATTTTAATCCATATCGACTTATTCATAGTTTTCTGAATAAACGTATCCCTGTGAGAATGAATTTTGATATCGTCTTTTAGATTTTCT